CATTTACATATCAAAACTAAACTTAATCAGTAGATGTTGTTATTGTTTATTGTTTTCTTTCAATAACTCTGAATGACTTAATCAGCTTACTACTTTAGATTGGCCATTAATTAAAGGTTGCTGTCTTCTTCATTTATAGTCTATCATATTTATCTTTTTTGTTGCTTCATCTTAACATTATGGCTCCAAATTTAGAGTTCACATTTGAAATTTCCAACTTATTTGAAATATTACTTGTAATATTTATATTTTAAGTCAGTGAATAATTATTTGAGCATCATTTTGTATTATAAGTACCTTAAATGAGAGGATTATTTCAAAAAATATCAAATTCAATAAGTCATCAAAAAGAATCTATGAACTAAAAATAAATATCAATTTTAAATTTGCAACGAGAAATAAATAAAATATTTGAGAACATTGAATAAATAGATTTTAATCTTTAGAAGCGTAATTTATTATGATTATCATTAAGTTTTACTAAGTTAAAAACAATTATTTCAGAATTTGGGCTAATGGTAATCCTAAATATTTCAAAAAGCTTAATCAATAATGAAGTGGAAATAGAAATCGAGAATCTAAGGATTATAATTAATATTCTTTCATTGTCAGATGCTTATTATAATTTATTCTGAATCAGACACTAGTTACTATTTTCTCATCACTTACATTGTCTACTTAATAGTTTTAATTGCCATATATGTTTTTTAATTGCTATATCATCTTAATTCAAGGTAAACACAATATCTAGAATTAATTAAATACATGATGTCAGGTATAGTCACATTAATAGCAGTTTTGGGATTGTCAGTAACTGGAATGTCATCATATTATCATTCATTTTCTGAAATCATTGTGACATTTTAACTATCGAGTAAACTCCATCCAATATATGATAATAGATTATATCTTATACCTCTAGTAGTTGTATTGATCGGCTATTTTGTTATGTAAGATAATAATTATTTATAGAAAGATTTTCTTTAAATGTTGTGATCACTCCTTACTTTGTGATTATTAAGATTTCTATCATTCTATTCTTTTCTATACAACAATATTTAATCAAAAGCTATGTAATTTATAATAATATCTAGTTTATTTTACTTGAGGAAGATTAGGCTACAAATTAAATAAATTTTATTGAAGAGAACAATAAAATTAATGATATTTTGGGAATTTTATTGCCCAAATTTGTGCGCCATCGTCTAAATGAAAGTAAACTGATTTGAAAGCTTATTTAGCTGACCAATATAATATCCATTAAAATTAGGGACATGTAGCCATTGTTTTTTGCGATATTTGCAATTTCGATTAAATTATCATGGAAGAGTAAGAAAATATCATACCATTTTTGGATGATCTCTTTCGAACTTTTGATAAATACTGTGAAATATGTGGTGTTTAGAAAATTGAAACAGTAGGAAAAACATATATGGCCTCAGCAGGGCTTAAAGCCTGTGAATAAGAATTAGCATATCTATCAGAAATTGAACCAGTTTAGAGAGCCTTAAATTTAGCAGAGATGATGATTACCTATATTAGATCAAAATTGTATTATCAAATTACTATTTAGATGGGGTCATTAAAGTTAGGCTTTAATTGGTAAGATTGGTATTCACTATGGAAGAGCAATTTCTGGTGTTATTGGATTTCATAAACCATAATTTTCATTAATTGGAGATACAGTAAACACTACCAGTAGAGTGTGCTCAACAGGGTAAGAAGATAAAATTACCCTTTCTGAAAGGGCCTTTGAATAATTAAAAAATGATAAAACAGAGTTTGAAGTGAGATATGTTGAGATGAAAGGATTAGGACAAAGACCTACTTATGTTTTTATCTAGAAAGGAAATACAAAGAATTATATTGCAAAAAATTCTATCAATAATAGCAATTGTAACAGTAGATCAAATACAATGAATATAGCAAATAGAGTGAGAACTTAATCATTACAAAAAGGAGGCTTAAAAAAGAGGTCTATTGCAATTCAAGACCCTTTAAATCAACGCTCAAAATAATTATTATAAATCTAATTATCGTGGAATTACCAATAATAAAATGGGTAGTAGAATTCTTAATCTTTATCTGAAGAGAATAGCATCAAAAAAGGATTATAGAATTCCTTATCCAGTCATCATCTTAATCATTTTCCCCAAGATAATGACAATGAAGATAATTTATATAGAAATATTAAATAACCAGAGCTTATTTCATAATTAGCAAGTTTATTTCATCACAAATTTCATTTAGAAGAGTATTAACCTGAAGTGGACCATTATATTAATTACGACTAATTATTAGTAATTTGTAATATTATTAATTTAGAATGTGATTTTACTTAAGAATGAGAATGGCTTAGAAGATACCCTAATACTTTAAAACTCTTTTATATCGTTGTTAAAAAGATCATATAATTCTAGTAAAAATAATTATTTGGAATATCATGAATATATCTATAAGCAATCTGAGCATGTGACAAATAAAATAATTTCAATTTACTCATTGTATTACCTAATGAAATAATTTTGCTTAATTGGAGAATATAATATGATTTCATTGCCTTTGATAATTCTGTAATGGATTGGATGTGCATTAAATATTATATCTTTGATGTTGTACAAGAAAAGAATGATAGACTATTGGGTATAATTGATTTATATAGGATTAAGTTTTTAGCTAATAATTGCTGGTATCTTTGTGATATTTGATATGCCTTTGTTTTTAAGATATTCTCACATAATAGAAATGATATTTATCTAATCATTTTTTAGCAACATATAATTATTGCATTTTTGGATTAAAATATTATTTTGCATTAGCTCCTTTACTTTTGAAGCCTTTGTCTTGATTTTTTGGAATGAGCATAATATATCACTCTTTTTTGCCTTCATTGTGATGGTTTATAACTTAAATTATTGTTACTTTTTGGAGGAGTAATAAGTAGCTTGTTTCAATCAGAAGAACATCTTTTAAAGTTAATAAGCCAAAGAATCACAACTATTATAATACTTACTTCCTAAACATGTAAATCTATAATTATAAGATAGATTTTACAAACCTTTCTTGATGATAATAATAGAGCAAGATGTTTAAGTGAAAAAATAGACAACGTTACTATTTTATTTGCAGATATTGCTGGGTTCACTGAATACTCAAGTAGAGTTACACCTGAAGAAGTGTTACTAATGCTAAAAAATCTATTTGTTGAATTTGATAGAAAGTGCTATGAAT